GGAGTGATGTGCGACTCGGCAGTTGAATTTCTCGGCGATGGCAGACGATGCAAGCGAAGGAATTACACATATATATATATATATATTTATGAAAGAAAATTCCTTGGGCTCATTTGTGCATTAAATTCAATTATCTGCACCACGACGACGAAGTCACAAGACCGACTTCCTATTCAGTGGTCAGTAGAGTGGAGGAGTTAATCCAAAGAATATTTATGAATAAGCGGTTGCTGCTGCCGGCAGATTGTGATTTTGACTGCAAAGTCTGGGAAATTGCTACAGCTATTGCTACTAGTGATACTGATACTGAATCCGATTCCGATTCAGCCTTATCTCTGAGATCACTTTTTACTTTTGTCTACTCCATTGGCCGAATCCGGCTGGCGATAAGGCAGTGGCTAAGAGGCTTATATGTGCTCCGAACGAACATTTCAAGTGGCACACTTAAGTGTGTGAAGTCTTAATTAACACCGGCAAAAAGCTCAGACGACGACGACGCCGACGACCCCGATGAAAGGCAAATCGGGAAAATGTATTACACTTTAATTATCTCCTTATCAAACTGAGTGTTACTAAGGCTCCAAGACGATCTGCAACGAAATAAAAAATATATAATTAATAGAAAATATAAACAAATGTAACAATAAGTTGAGAGTGCTATCAGTTAATGAATTTAGCACGGGAGCATGTGTGCCTAACAAGCTATGAGAGCATCTCGAATGATAAGTGCCGCAAAAATGGCAAAATAATAACAGGTGTATAACAGGCTAGTGAGCAGGTAAATAACAACAGCAGTTAATTCAAACCGACACGATATAGTACTGATAAAAGGTACTATATAGGATAGATAAAAGTACATAACTTTGTATCTTGAAATTATTCAAAAACGGCATATAAAAAGTCACAATAGTAATGAAATAAAAGTATTTATTTACAATTTTTAAAACTAAAACCGTTGACATATTTAATCCCATCGATAAGAAAATAAAATATGTTTCCAAGCAAAGCCTCTATTACATTTAATCTCATTGATAGTGGAATAAAATGTATAAGAAACCTATAAACTAATACCATCCTATATAAGGTAGAATTTCAATGTTTGTTTTGATTCGTCTGAACGATAGAACCACTATATAGCCTTATCATTGTGGCAACCTGACACCAAATACCAGAGCAATGTGCAGGAGCCATTCTACCGTAAAGTGGATTATGGCGGAATAATTTATGATGGTTTTATTTTCTTTTTAAATGCCAGGTTTAGGTTTTTTTAAATTCTAAGATTTATTACATTATTTTAATCTTTAGTCACTATTATGACGCCTATTTTGGCAAATTTATGAGCTTGCGAATGCGAATTGCAATACGATTTTTTTGGACAGCCCGTCGCTCTGTCATTTTCATGGGGCCCTTGAAGCTTCAATATCAAGTAAAAAGTGGATTTATGAGGTACAGATATTTTGCTTATACATATTGAACGAAAAACATTTAAAAAATTCTACATATATACATCTGTTTATTTCCCTTGATTTAAAATGGATCTGCTGAAAACCAGATGATATTCATAACGAATTTAAATGGCTCTCAAATTATTTAATAGCTTTGTGATATTTAGATTGGATTTGTTCATAGTAAACCAATTAGGGCAATGAATTTGCTTTGATCACTAATTAATTAGAGTTAGCGCTTGAAATTCCTACAGAACACTTTCAATAGGAAGTGATGCTGGAGCACACCTTTTTATGGAATTCTTAAGCACATGTCAATAATTTAAACTAATTATCCACATAACTAAAATACTTTAATAATGGCAGATCTGAGTCAGGCTATTATGGCACGGATTTCGCAAAGTACTTGAAAATAAAAAAAAAATGTATAAACATGAGTGCACATATTTGTTCTGGCAGATAAGAAGAAACCTTATACTCTTAATGGGGAAGACAAATCTTGTTAAAAGCGGAATAGGCCAGCGACCCAGATTGCCTGCTCAAGTTTTTGGAATACTTTTTAATGGGATTTTAAGCCAGACCCTTAAACTTAATCTCTACAGAATTACCAATTATAAGTACTCACACTTAAGATACATACTCGTACATCAAAATGCAGTACTTTCTGTTGCTTTGTGTGGTCTAAAAATATACAATACGGAAAATATTATTCCAAGTCAGTAAAAAAACCAAAAGCTTTGCCAAAAATATTCGAAAAATGATTTTTGCAAACAAAACAAAGGCCAAGTAATCCGCTAAACAACAGCATTTATTGTAGACCATTTTTTACTATATATAATTATACATTTTGGTCACCTTATATCACCGAAATATTCCACACACAAACACGATTTTTGGGGATCTACAAGCGAAACGTTTTATATCTCTTGCCGTTGTAAATTTGTTGTAGCCATATTTGCATACAGAGTTATATATCTTTACTGTAGTAACACGGGCTTATGTACTCGTTATAAAATCAATTAAAAAACGACGCAAAGATGCAAAACAAAAACGTCACGAATACGAAATGGGAATAATGAGAACACAGACACCGCTTTTCGCGCTCCACCTGCTCACACCTGTGGCGCGTGTTTTGGGTTGCCCCTTAGTTATTGTTTTTGATGTTACGAGGGCGATCGAGGTAGAAATTCACATACCAAGTTAGGGAAGACTTGGGATTGATTGGACTCACTCACTGCTGAGTTTTGATTTCTGATGGATGATGAACTGTCTCGGAACAGAGAACTCAGTACTCGGACCGAATCGCGTATCACAGCCGGGCAATTAGCATGGGCGATATTAGCTGGTCGCCGGAATGGAATAATATATTGTATTGGAGAATTATTGGAGAGCAGCTACCGATGTCAACGCGACCGCTTCGCGCTCTGGCATTGACTGGCGTCGTCGTCGTCGTCGTCGCCGACGTTGTCGTTGCCGCCGCCACCGCTGCTCATTCTCGCTGAATAGGTGGTGTTTGGAGCCACTGCTGCTTATCATCACCCGCAGTCGCGGTCTCGGCCAAGATTAATGACGTCCAATATAGTTACAGTATTTCCATATTCGCTCGCTTCCATTGATCTCAGCTGACTGGGCGGCCTATTGGCTATGGTATAAAGCTCAACGAAACCCAATCCGCAGATAATTCTCAAACAATTTCCTTAATTTTCTGGAAAATCAGCAAACTACACACGAAAAAAGAGAGTAGAAACCGGGAGTTCGTTATGTTACGATTCCGATTCGAAGCGCTTATCTAGAAATGGCTCTTTATGGGCCGAAATAAAAATCTGAGTGAGCAAGTCTCTAGATTTGACTTGCGGCGCGTTTATGAATGGGATTTGTTAAGTATTATAAAAGGTATTCAAGATGGGGCACTCTTTTAACCCAAATAATTAACGCTCAAGTTGGGAAAAAAATATAATAAAGCAGGAGCGTGCTTATAAACATAAACGGAATGAAAGAAGTCAGTAGGTATGAAGAAGACCTTGGCATATTTTTAAGTTTTCTAATCTATGCAACCATTTACTTTAAACTAATCTGTGACGTTGGAAGTTGGATTTTCCCACCAATTTGAAAGTCAACCTATTTCAAAGTCTCTAGACAAACCGCAAATCAGGGGAACTTTTCTATTTACAAAAAAATGAAACTCGTCTGACTTGTTCTTGTTTTCACCCTGTAATCCGAAAATGCTACTTCTATTGAGCCGGCATCTGTACGCTTGTTGCGTAAAATTAAAATCTGCTTCGCAATAAATAAATCAACGAACGTGCATCATCCATTAGCACCTGGAATAAGTACAAATGGGTAGAGACTATAGAAGGGTGAAAATCTGTCAGGAATGTACGAAAATACACAGTATCATTCCAAACAAAGTTTTATAAATAAAAGCGTTAAAACAACAGTACAATAAGTCAAAATTAATTTCGAATGCTTTCAGTTTATTAAGTTTTAATAACCATAATTTGACCTAGCTAAAAAAGGGAACCCTTTTTGCATGCAAAATTATACAATTATGGAAGAAAAAATTGTTTTATTTGTTTGTCGAATTGACAATATTTTTGTTAACCGACACGCGCATCAAGGCCTATCAAATAGATACAAGTGATTAGCATGATATCATTTCTGAATCTTAAAATGGAAAAAAGCCATAATTAAGTAAATAATTATCGCAAAAAAAGAAAAGCTGTGTGTGTCACGACGCCTGTCAACAAAACTTAAGTAACTTTGAAGCCGCCGTCGGCCGAAAACCCCGTTTTTCGAGTATAAGTATATTTAAATACGTTTTCCTTATTTTACGAGATCTCATAACCCACAGCAAGGCAAATTCCTCGGTACTACGTAACACGTTATCTATTTTCAGCTTTTTGCTTATTGGTACAATTATGAGAAATGATCATTGGATCAAAATAGACATACAAATTTATTGACAGGTTGTTATCTATATCGCAGCAGAGATACTGATGTGTCAACTGTGTCTTAAGGAAAGTGAAGTGTAAAACATGTGTCTTCGGTTCGCAAATTAAGTTAGATAAAGATAATACAGGAGACGAAAAAATACCACAAAGTATTGGATGATAGAGTTGGTTAATATTCAATTTAAGATGCCGCAACTAATTGCATATCAAAAAATTCTAGGGTGGCTTTTATTTGTATATTCAAATATATATCCCACATTACCGGAAAAAATAGATCGATCGTTACACATGTTTTGATGATCTAAGACTAGAAAAGCAAATATGCTTTAGCGATTCTTCACTTACTTCTCTGTTTACATCCTCAATTGCAATATTCCAAATGACGATGTCAAAGGTATTTAACAACTGTGCATATAATGAGAATGCACATTGTTTTTTATTCGGAATATATAATTTATTTGTAAACTCTATTTAAGTAAAACTTTTATGATGTATATGAATACACAAGTGGTAGTTTGTTTTCATGTAAAAACAAAAGTTTATTTTAGAAAAAACCTAAATTTATAATTGAAACTTAAATATTACAATTAAAATTTCTAGAGAATAAAGTACTTAAATAAGAAGTGTGCTTTATTCTTGATGATACATTGGCTTACAATCAGAAAAGAGGTTTCTAAATCTGACCAATTGTCTCTGTCTGGGAAATCTGTTCGTTTGTTAAGTGGTCTACGTGGCTGTAAGGGTGCCTTAGCATTTTAAAGTTTCAGCTTCCTCATAATATTATGAAATACTTGCGTCTACATTATATTCAATGTAATCAAACTATGGAAGAAATTTAGATGCGCCGTGAAAAGTTGCCGCCGCCATTGCCTCCGCCATTGTTTCCCATACCGCCGCCGCCGCCGTTTCCGCCTCCATTGTTTCCATTTGGTCCGCCTCGGGTCTTGCCGTCATAGAAAAGCTCAATGTAGCGCGAGCCCATCTGCTCTCTGTGGCGCTTCATGGCCACCTGGGAATCTTCGTAGGTGTCGAAATAGGCATCAGCAGTTCCACTGTGCAGACCCTTCTTGTTGTAATTGATGCGCACATTAGCGGGCCGAATAGGTTCAAAGAACTGAAAACATATATATCATAAGTTAACTTTTTTTTTTGGTTTTTAAAAGTTTAACCCACCTTGAAGACGTCGTTTTCAAAGGAAGTGTACGGAAGTCCTCGCATATGGATTGTGTAATGCCCGGAATCATCATTACCCCGGCCTCCACCAATGGGTCCGAAATTGCCGCCTCCAGAGTTGCCACCGCCAAAGTTGGGGCCATTGTTGAATCCGCCGCCTCCGCCATTGTTGCCACCTCCAAAGTTGGAGCCGCCGTTTCCATTGTTGTTGTTTCCTCCGAAGTTTCCGAATCCGGAGTTTCCAAAGTTGCCGCTGTTGTTGTTGTTGCGACCACCGCCGATGGGCCCAAAGTTGCCACCACCACCCGAGGAGCCGAAGTTGCCACCGTTATTGAATCCTCCGTTATTGCCACCAAAATTGGAGCCACCATTGTTTCCAAAGTTATTGCCGCCTCCTTGGGAGTTAAAGTTGTTGCCACTGTTGAAACCACCGCCGCCATTGTTGTTGCCTCCGAAATTTCCACCTCCATTGTTGCCGAAGTTTCCAAAGTTTCCTCCGTTGCCGCCATCGTTGTTTCCAAAGTTTCCGGAGTTTCCACCACCGTTGTTTCCGCCACCGAAGTTTCCGAAATTGCTCGGTCCAGAGTTATTTCCGAAGTTTCCACTATTTCCTTGGTTGTTTCCAAAGTTTCCGGAATTCATCAAGCTCGGCAGGTTGTTGAAACCCAGCATGTTGTTGGCGCCAACACCGAAGTTACCATTGTTGCCCCAATCTATATATGGAAGTCGGAGAAATAATATATTAGTCTTGAATTCGAAATAAAAAACAAAGGAAAAATATTACTATACCATTGCGACCTCCGCCGAAATCGTTGCCACCTCGATTGGCTCCACGATCACGTATATCATAAGGACCAGGACGTCCTCCAGCACCACCGCCGCCGCCTGTGGCTCTCTTCATTTCAGCAATTGAACTGCGGAATATCTCAATATACCTACATGAATAAAGCAGAAAATACGCGCATTTTAAAATTTATAACTTAAATTTGCTAGGGTCGGTGGTGTTTTCATTTGATGTCTAAATATTAAATATTACAAAATCAAAAATAAATCCAAATAAATTAGTTTGCAAGAAATCGGTTATAAAAAAACTAATAAAATCAACTATGTTCTCGGTTTTATTATTATTAGGTTAGGTTAAGCACATGCTTGGCGCTTAAACAATTATTAAGAGCCCCACCAGACCCATAGCTATTGGAATTTGTTGCTAAATGGTTTCTCAGTTACTGAAATATAAATAATTTATGATAAAAGTAATTTAATATTTTGTGAATAATCTATATAGAAAATTGGTGTTGTAGTTTTCCTTGTGTGTTTCAACAAGTTCGCAATTGATTACCACTTAATGTTTTTAATTTCAGCTGTTTTGGTTGTAGAAGATATGATGAATTAAAAACCCACCTGTGCCCAATTTTATCCCGATTTCGGCCCAAGGCTTGCTCAGTGTCGTCCTGGCTTTCGAACTGAACAAAAGCTTCCCCAGTTGCACGACCCCTTCTGTCCATAACAAAAAGTATGCCCTCCCGATCCGTTTTGATTTCCAACCCTGCCCATGACGATAACCAACAAAGATTTATACAAATATATAGATTTCATATATATATATACATTATGCAAGGTTAAGCTTAGATAGAGAAACAGAAATACAGAGGTTGATAAATGTTATTGTTTAGTTCCTGCGTTGCAGAACTATTGCAGGCTCGCGGACTCAGCACGAGTTGCTCAAATAAAACAAATTGTGTTTCAGCCAACAAGATGGGAGTGTTGCAATCAAAATTCCCGGACCACAATGCTTTAAAAAACTCAGATCCTGCAACTCGTAGACGTGGCAATCTCAGTTGAAAGAGGGTAAATAATGATCGTTGATTTAACCAAGTAAACCGGGTTGTGTGACCAATGAAATAATGATTTATCAGACAAACGGACGTGTCCGCGTCAACTCTTTGTCGTTGACTTTGGAAGGAGCTGCATGAACCACCGAACCCATTACACAAATGCAAGGGCCTTCAAATCATTGCCCGAAATTATGTACTGTTCAAGCGCATGTGTAATTTTTAATGAAAAGTGTAGATGAAGGGACCGTAGGCCATATCTGAACGAAGTGCAATATAAACACATGCGGTCAACCACTGTCTTCGCTCCTTGTGCCTACCAGTATGGAGAAAGGGAAGGAGCTGGGACACTCACCCGAGAAGAACTCCTCTATTTGCTGTTCGGTGACGGCATAAGGCAGACCACGAAGCTTCACAACAAAGGCAGTGCCGTGTCCGCTGATCTTCCGCATGGCTTCCTTAGCTTCTTTGGGAGTGGCGGTGAAAACTAGAGGAGAAAATATACACATTAGAAAACGTATAAAACAAAAACTAGATATCCTTAGTATTCCTTCCTAGTACACCATATTGCAATACGATAATTTCAGAATTATAGATATATGGTTTCACTACTTGGACATCGTAGTTTTTAGTACATTTTTTCTAAAGTTATTTTTCATCTAAGATTTATTGTGAAAGTCATATTGATAGCACTTACTAATACTTGACAATACTGCATATATTTAACACCTGATTAGAAATAAAGATAATTGTAACACCAAAGTGTTATATTTGTGAACAGGTAAACAACCTATAAATGAATCACTAAGAAAGAAAAAGTTGTTAATGCTAATCAAACATTTAAAAGGAACTACAATAAAAAAATATAAGTCTCTTCACATTTTAAAAGCTTGGCCAATGTGTTGTTAATCTTTAAAGCAGATACTATGCACATATTACATTTAAACAGTTTGAAAAAAATCACGTCAACTGGATATAATAAAAAAGAAATCACATATGTATAAAAGGAGATCGTTGCAAACAGAGGCTTATAATTAGTAAAACTTTTGATTTGGTTAACACTAGGTACAGTCAAACCCCTTGAAAGTTGTATACAAACCCTCAATGTAGCGGTGGCCCATGCTAGCCTTGTTCAGCTTCCTAGCCTCCTCGACGTCCTCCTGGCTGGCCACCTCCACGTACGCCTCCCCAGTGTTCTTGCCGTCGACGCGACTGGTAACCAGGTGTATGCCCGCAGAGCCATTAGTCACATTTACATTATCCAGGAAGTCGAGGATCTCCTTGTGCGTGGCGGACCACGGTAGACCGCGCAGACGTACGAACTTAGGGCTCTCACCCACGTTCTCAATCTTGACGCCGCCATCTCCGTCAAATTGGTCGTCATCATCTTGCTGCTGGCTGCTGTCGTCGTTGAAGCTATCACCATTTCCCTGCTGGCCGTAATTGAACTGGACGTCTGAGTTTGCCATCTTTTCGCACTCTCTTTGTCTGCAAATTTATACAAACCAGATGTATTAGATATTGGATTGGAATTTGAGCAGGAGTAGATGTATCAATATAATGCAGCTTTTCTTAGCCGGTTTTTCTCAACTGTGACGCTGGCTGCCTTTTTTTGCACCACGAACGCCATTTTGATTTCTAGTCACCCCCAATCGCACATGCCAATTTTCCAGGCTCTTACACAATATATACGTTCGTAATGGCCACATTTGATAGCTATTCGGCAGATTTACCTCTTTTTGAAAAGTTGAAAATTGTTATATTTCCTGCGCCTTTTTTGGATCGGCTATTTCACACGATTTTCAGAGAGTTTTCTTTCGGAGAGCACGCGTCAAGTAACAGATAAAGTGTGACCAACGGAAAATCAGAAAAATATACCAAAGAACTGTATTTTTAGCCAATGTATTTTTAATATACCATATTTTATTACATTTTATTTAGAACCAATACCTTGGTTGTTGTCTCTGAAGAATGAACAAGTTTAGATGTATGTCCTTACTAAATGTTCATTCTTTGCCAATGTTGCCATTCGAAAATATCCCATCCCTGGCTCGCTAGTGTTGCCAATCATCACTCACAACTGTCATACCCGTGTGAAAAGTAGCAAGAACAAGAAAAGTGAGCCTAGCTGTTACTTAACCAAATTTTTGCAATTAAATAGTATTTTTCTGTCCCAAACGCCAGCATGTTGAGCATCACGGCCCGCAACTTGGCAAGTGCCCTCCGCAGCAGCCTCGTCGGCACATCGTCGCGTGTGGCCGCTGTTCGCTGCCTGCATGGAACCGAGGAATCGGCAGAGGAGTTCGACAAGCGCTACGAGAAGTACTTCAGCCGCGAGGGCATCGATGGCTGGGAGATCCGCAAGGGAATGAACGATCTGCTCGGCATGGATCTGGTGCCCAGCCCCAAGATCATTGAGGCCGGTCTGCGCGCCACCCGTCGCGTCAACGACATCGCCCTGGCCATCAGGTGGCTGGAGGGATGCAAGGACAAGTGCGGTGACCAGAAGGCTACCCTCTACCCCTACTTGTTGGAGAAGATCACCCCTACCCTGCAGGAACTGGGCATTCCCACCATCGAGGAGCTGGGCTACGACAAGCCCGAGTTGGCCCTGAAGTCGGTGTACGATGCCTAAGCGGAGTACTCTAGTTTAAACACACAAAACACGATACACACGCTACAGCGACACTAGCTAACCATTCACTGTATGGTGCGGATGAACATGTTGTTGGATTACTAATAAATGGAGATTGGAGTAAGGCTACCACACCAGCACTTGGTTGTTTCCCTCTTGGTTACGTAACGTCCAGGTTAGGGAACTGCATTCCGGCGGAGATATACAAAGGGATTGATAGCAATTCGTTTATTGTCCGTTGACTATTTCCACTTTGAGAGCAGTTCTGCGGCCTTGTCCAGGTTCTCCTGTTTCTTGATGAAGCAGTAGCGGACGAAGTCTTCTCCTAGGTGCTTATTGGGCTCGCTGTAAAAGGCGCTTGGCGGAATGCCTTGTAGGCCCATGTTTTTGGTCATCCATTTGGTGAACTTGTAGTCCCGGTGTTTATCTGGTTCAGAACTAAGATCAACTTTGCCTGTGAGTGGCGACCAGTCCGCCAGCATGAAGTAGCCACCCTCGGGAATGGTAGGACGCATGCCAGCCTCCGATAGGAATTTAGCCATGAAGTCCCGCTTCTCCTTCAATTCACGTGGTAGGCTTAGGAAGTAGCTTTCCGGCTTGCCTAGACGCGCCAGCTCTACTTCAAAACTACGAGCCACACCCTCTTGCAGAGGTGTCGGACAGGTGTACACGGAGTTTTGGTGCACCATCTGCAGGTTGCGAATCAGCGAGGCCGGACCGTAGGCCCAGCCAATCTTCCAACCGGTTACGGAGAAAGTCTTGCCTGCTGATCCCAAAGTGATTGTACGATCCCACATGCCCGGCAGCGTGCAGATACGTATATGCTCGGCTCCGTCGAAAACAAGCCATTCGTACACCTCGTCAGAGACGCACAGTACGTTCCACTTGCGGCAGAGTTCGGCGATCCTCTCTAGCTCCTTTCGATTGAAGACTTTTCCAATGGGATTGTGGGGAGTGTTCAGGATGATCATCTTGGTTTTCGAGTTGAACAGACTCTCGAATTCGGCATCGTCCAAAACCCAGTCGGCCGAGCTGATTGGTCCATCTGTCTTGCGCTAGATTTTGGGCATTTGAAATTAGCAACCAGGTTTAGTTTATTATGAGATTTTCGTACCAGTTTCAGGGGAACAAAGCGTGGTACTCCGCCGGCCATCTTGACCATGGGTTCGTAGCAGTCGAAGAAGGGTTCAATGATTATAACCTCATCACCTACGTCTACATGTCCCATGATGGTGGAATATAGAGCCTCGTAAGCACCTGAGGTGATCAGAATATCACTAAGAGGATTAAGCTCCTTGCCCACAAGACCGCTGTAGAGTTTCGAGAGGGCATTGACCAGGCGGACATGTCCATATCCACGGGTGTACTGATGGAGAAGAGGATTCTCGTCCTTTGAAATGTCCGCCAGAGAGTGTGTCACGTACTCGGGGGCTGCATCGTCCGGAAATCCCTGTCCAAGATTTAAGGGCTTGTATTGCATGGCCAGGGCGATGTACTCGTTCCAGACGCTGGGCGTGCTGCCCTGCAATCTCTTAGGCAGATCGAATTTGTCCATGCTGCTGGCAGTTTGCTGATGACGAAGGACTTGCAACTGGAACTGATCACTGAGGCTCTTCTTGGCGGCAGCAAGGGTTAAGCGGCAGCTGCGAAGCATCTGTAAGAAGGTGACTTTAATGACTGATTACTCCCTTTCGTCTTATCACCGCGTGTTTTGAATGTTTATTGCGCGATAAGCACGCACTTTGCCTGTCTGTGTGTTGGTCGTTGGTCTGGTGTCTGATCTCAAATGTAATATAATATCACTGGTTAAATGCAGTTGTTGGAGTTAAATACTGGAGCCCTCCACTACGCGGTGACGTTGCATAATGGCACTGAATTGTGATTAGACTAGCGGAATATCTATGTACATATATGTATATATATGCGATACGATTTTGTTTAAAGCGCTTACACACACAAGCGCGCTTAAATATGCAAATAAACAAATACGTGGAAATATAAGACAGCAGTTTCTAAATGGAACTAAATTTTACCCAAAAGCCGGTAAAAGAAACAATAACATTGCCAGCTGTCCGTTGAAATCGGGGATTTAATCATTTTGAATTGATTGGTGTTATTTTGAAAGAGCTTAATTTGACGATCTTTTTTAATCGCCAGCCTTGACCTTGACCGTTAAACGTTGTAATTCAGTATTGAACACAAATTCAATAGAAAAGGACCTTAAATAATTACTGTAACTTTTAAATCATCCTAGAGTTTAATTATAATACCGACACTCACAGAATAAAAAATAATGTTATTATTTTGTTTAGCTATTGGAACTTTTATCGATATCAACCAGGGCTGGAACTAAAATCACGTCAGAAATAATCGTCTGTATCGATAACAGCCACCTATCAAACTTAAAATTCAAAACAAAAACCGCCATTTTTAATTTTTAAAAAGTTGATTTCCGAAAGACATATTATTTAGGTACCAAATCAATATCGGTCCTCCAAATGCTTACCGAAATTAATAATGCATTTATTTTTCATTTTTCAAAATTTTATTTATAAAAAATGCTTGTTAATGGTAGTTAATCAAGGGTGAAATCATCGTATAGCTAGAATAATTGACAAATAAATTGATTAATAACATATTAAGCATCGAAACATTTTCCTTTCATTAAGTATAGAATTATCTGTTATGCTATAAAAAGAATTAAAGTTTGTTTTTTGACCAATTTCGATTTTCAAATGTTCGATCTGCAAAGTTTCAACAAAGTAAAGCTACTAAACTTAAATCACAGATAACACTAAAGTGTTTGTTACGATATATGCATTTATATATATGTGTCTGTTTCTATATATATATGTATATATATGTCACTATATATGTGTGGTCAAATCGGTTGTTACAGGCCCGCTTTGCCTTCTTCTCTCGTACGATTCCTTTGTGTGGAAATCATAGAAAGCATAATTGACTTAAGGTTAAGTTAGAAAACCGCTAAAACTAACGAAATTGTGTCTTGTCTGTGTTATGTGATTGTGTTGCATTGAATCCATTCGCTGTTAAATGCAACAATTGGCTTAAGTACTACGAAACAAAATATTGGAGTCCTGATTATTGGTAGGGACATTATAATGATCCAATTATTTTCTCATCCTCATCCTCTTCCGCTGTGAATGGCACACGTTTAGCGTAACGCGAATGGCAAAAACGAAACTTAGGATGTGAGCCCGGTTTCAAAATCAATTCCAATTACCAAATTAAGTATTTTATAAATTGGTAAATAAGTTGGAGACTGCAGAAATTTTACATCTCTTAGAAAGTACACTTTTAGATAAAGAAGCTTAAGCTAATTGAAATCGCAGGAACTTTTTTGAATTCGAATAAAGTTTTGATTGGAATTGAATATAAAACCGGACGTTTTTCCTCTCTCTCTCTTTTTGTGTTGATCCTGTGGGTGTAGGTGTTGAAGTGGAGGTCCTAGACGTGCACCTCCGGGCAGTCTTCATCCTTAATAGATGTGTACTGCACCTTCTTGGCCACGTTGTCAAACACAGGCGTTATCATGTATTTCAACTTGTCCCTGCTGACGTAGACGAGTGCCACCAGGAGTCCCAGCAGGATCATGGTGAGAACAATTAGCAGGAAGATCAGAGTGGCCGTGTGTCCGCTGATGTGAGCCTGCTGCTGAATGGACGGCTCCGCGCCTCCGAAACGCTGCTCCTTTTCAGCGGTATTCAGGATCGTGGCAGCGGCGGCGATGGCATCCGCACACTGACTCATATCCATCTGAAGGAGGTGGGCGGGCGAGGCGTCCACGCGACCCGGCGAGTGGAAGCACATTAAACTATCCTTGTTTCGTACCGTTACTCGGGTGGAGGGTATCCACGCGTGGAACGGAGCGATGCGACAGTCGCAGACAAACGGGTTGAGGTTGAAGTCCACAATCAGATTGGCGGTGCGGTTTGGTCGATCCTCCAGCTCGTTTAGCACCCGCAGATCTGTAGGCTTTACAAAGCCAAATTTATTGCGCTCTAGGTCGAGGAAGCGCAGGTTATTCAAGCAGCGAACCTCAAAGTTAAGGTCATGCAGCCCGTTGTCCCCTAAATGGAGATCACGCAACGAGGGCAGGTCGCAGAATACGTTACGATCTTTGAAGTGCGTGATCTCGTTTTGCTCCAAATGAAGCTTTTGTAGCTTCACTAGCTGACTGTTGACAAAGATATCGTGCAGATCCTCACTCAACTGCGGCGAACTGTTATCCTCAAAGGCATCGGTGAGATGCAGACTCTGCAGGTTAATAAAGTTCGAGAAGACGCGAGGATGATGGTGGTTGACCTCGTCATCATACCGCGAGATACTCAAATTATTGTGATTAAGGATCAGGCGCTCCACACGCGGCACATGGTGGTAGCTCTTGCCACGAATTTCCCGGATGTGGTTGCTGCTCATGTCCACGATGCGCAGCTGCTTGTAGTCATTGATGCTGCCGAAGACGTTCCACGGCAGTTCCGTGATCCGGTTGCCCGTAAAGATGAGCACCTCCACCTGATCGGGCATGAACTCCAGGACACTGGTATTAACCAGTCCGGCGTTAGTGCAGTTCACCACGTACTGCATATCGCTTTCGTACAATTCCTTGCCGCAACTGCATGCTGCCGGGAAGTTGGGTCCGCAACTGGATGAATTTTCGCCCAGTACTCCTCCTGCGCCGATTGTCAGGCTTATGATCGCAATGATCGCGACCAGGACCAGTCTCCTCAGTTCGGTGGGTGGCATGATTCTTATTGTAAATATCTGTAAATAAAAACATAAGATGTTATTATTATTATATGATGCTATGTTGACAATGTTTATAATTGAACTTGCAATCTAAGAAAGTCCTAAAAATCACTTTATATTCGTGTTAATGAAAGTACTGTTGACTCCATCATCATTTAAAAAGCTATCCTTAAAAAGATCATATATTGATTTATGAAACTAGCCCTATAGTAAACCATAAATATTCGTTGGTTGTGTGCAACAGCAAAATGGTTTATTGGCTGCTAATGCATTTTAAAGTGGTGTACATGCTGTAGAGAGCCAGGAAATTCGTACCGCTGCAGCGCGCGGCCTGACTAGTCGTAGCCACCTCTTTCCGCCAAACGGACAGCTTATTTATGCTCCACAAGTTGCAGATTTATGTGCTTATGAAAACGGCAGCCAGCCATCCTACACCTCAGCGGAGAGGATATCTCTAACCGTACTTCGAAGCGCCCATTTCAATGGTCGGCCCACGCGGCGTATGGGTAATTTCTGTTTAGTGGCAAACTTTTCGGCGTCGGGAGCATAACAAACGCCTGAAGGGCACTCCGGCGAGCTGTGGCAGTCATCCAACCGCAACAGGAGCAAAAGCTGGAGGAGCAGCCGTAAACCTGATTATTTTTCGGCTTTTATTGCTATTTGTTTAGTGCGAGTGAGTGTGTGTGTGTGGGTTTATGAGTGAGAGTTTATGGAAGGCGTAGGAGGTGGCGAGTAAAATATTAAAGCCCAGAGCGGAAACACTTAGTCAAGACAGCGAACCAAATTTTAATTTTGCGAGTATGTATGTTTTACTAACCCAAAGATGCTTAAAATTAAATTGGTCTATCAGAAACAGAGGCTTTATTAAATTTTTTTTCTCTTAATACCCAAAGCGGTCCATCAAAAACAGAGACGTCAGTAAATATTTTACTCTTAATACCTATAAATTAAATGACTGAAAAGCACATTTCTGTTTACATCAATGGTCCATAGTGGAAGAGAATTTATGGGAAAACAATAAAGTTCATGAAATCAATCACTTTAACAATGCGTATACAACAATTTTGTGAAACCAATTAGAATCGTTTACGACTAACGTTTTTCAGAATTTAAAGGTGGGCTTGTTTCACCATACGAACAGCTTAAATTTGGGCCAGATTGTTCTAAAAAGCTGATGGTTTTGTGAGCCTCAAAGGATCTGAAACTCAATGGTTAGCTGGCCATTTGAAATGAAACAGAATCGCTAAAATGGAAGCCCCTATACTGGCGTGTATGGGATCCATGTGCCCATTAATTTCCTTGTTAAGAGGATGCTGCCACTTGGATGTTGCTGTTGTTGTCGAACCTGGCGTTTGACCAAGGGTCACTCGATGCTAATGAGCGCATCAAATTTCTGCCTGGGAAAATTGAAAACTAACGGTGTTTTAATGGCCCCAGCCGGGCACCCTCAAAGCCCTCTCGACTCCTCCGCTCCTAAAGGCCACTTAATTATCTCGACTGGCAATTATGTTGCCTGCCTCCGGAGAGTGAATTTATGATGGTTTTAGCGTATGCAAATGAAATTTACAAATTTCCAAATATTTGTCTACCACAAATCGGAAATATTTACAAATTAGAAAGATTAGAGATAAATCGTTCAATGTGGAAATGGTAAAGAATTTGGTTGGTGTTTAGTTTCATTCTCACTCCTTGGCCTTAAATGTTTGTTTCTCTTTTAGTCAAGGTAAAAAAATAAAAAACAAAAGAGCCAAAACAAAACACAAAGGCTGCACTGCACTTGAATCTTCCGTTAAAAGTAAACGCGGCGTGTGTATGTGAGTCACTTCCGGTGTGTCGGGCTAACAAGCAGCCGCTTTTTACACCCCATCCCCTTCGCCACTCTGCAGTTTTAGTTTAATTTCAACTTTTATGTCTTTGTTGTTGTTTGCTTTGTGTGTTTACTGTTGCAATAACATACACCTCCAAACGCACCTGCCCACCTCCAACCAACCAAGCCCACCGGCTCAACCCCCTTGGCCATTCCACTGCAATAATAAGGCAAACAAACAGCATTTGTTCCTTCTTTTCTGCACTCGGTTCGCTTCTCGCTGGAATTTATGCATGCGCGTAAAATAATAATAATACAGAAAAGAAACAGAAACAGCAGCAGCGGCCGGGGCAGCGGTAGCACAAACAACAAAGGCAAACAACTACAATAACAGCGGCATAATACGTATGTAACAAGCGCAAGCAAAATAATATAATGGTGAACATTTTTGTGTGTGTCGTTATATACCCTTTCGAAGAGTATAATTCATAAGAAGATTTTTGGTTTTTATTTATGACATGGTAAGACAAGGGTCGCAGAGTCAGAGGTTTAAAATATGTAATACTTTTGAACAGAGAGATTGGATGTAATTCAATAAACTATGGAAAAGATGTCAAAACCTTAAACACATCATTTCTTTTAGCTTTCCTCTTCAATTAACTATCCTATTTGTTAACAAGTTGCAATTAGATTCCGTGGCAGTTTGCTATTTGCAATGGACATTCTTTAGAAATTTCAAGCAATCAGCAAAGGTATGCTAAGCTTCGGTTTCCAAAGCTAACATACCATTCTTGTTTGTTAATATTATTTTTTTTTTTTGTAATTTTTTTACGTGCTTTGCCTTTTGCATGACTCCCGCTCTAATTCTCCCTCTGTCCTTCTCGTCTTTTAATTCGTTAGTGGTGAAGTGCCAGGCACTTGGCAGTTGCAATACAAAGAAGAAGGAGGAGGTGGAGCACGTGGAGCTGGAGAAGCTGGTGGAAAATGGCGAATATGGGAGTGGAATTAAAGGTGGTCCCTCAATTTGTAATGCACGATGAGTACGAGCTTTGGACTTCAGTGTGTGCGTGCATGTGTCTGACTTTGAGTGTGTGTGTGTTTTGCGTGGTTATGGTTGTATGGTCTAATTAGAGCATAACTGCACGGTCGTCGTATATGGGCAGATTTGGTGGGGTGGTGTCAGTACCTCCCAGGGGAAAGTCACATCTACACCTCAATTCAGCTTATGCTAACTAATGACAGCCAATTAGGTTCAATTTCGACTATCCCCTTGCCGTTTTCCCTTATCACCATCATTTGAAATTTGCGAAAAACCAATTTTGTTTATAAATAATTGTAGATTTCGCGTTGGTTTGTCACGAACAGCGAATTTCGTGTGCTGGCAGATTTAGTTAGCAGGAAAATTAACTTATAATCAAAGTTTACAAACAAAATCCTGTTAAAAACTTCTACAGAATTTCGAATGTCAATATTTGGGGCATTTCTGTAAGGATTTCTTAAGATTATTTTTATAACTTGAAAAATCCAATAAAGATTGTCTAAAATTCTCAGTAATACAACCTGAAATAACCCATTTCAAACAGTCCTAAATTATTGCTCAACTTGCCACATGGTAAATCACTCTTGGTTTTACCTCGAAATTCCTCAACGCTATTGCTAAAGCTCTTCTCATTAAATAATCGCCCGCTCATTCAGGGATCCCCTTGAAATTGTTGAGCAGATGTCTCCATTATCGCAGCTCTCCTCAATCGGATGCTGTGGCCAAGGCTCTTACCGGTTTTTCGCACTGAAAGGCGATGCCACGCCCCAACTTTTGGGTGGCGGGGGTGTCCTTGGGAGTTTCGCCAGTCAAATTTCATTGTTGGCACAACTCGTTGCATACTTTCGGGCAACACTTGCGAATGAAAAGCTCTTCAGAGTGAATTTCACAGCTGCAACTCGCATCCAACTGGGTAAATGGGTAAACGGGAAGTAGAGAAGCAGGAGCAGGGGAAGAAAGACAAGGGGCAGGAAAAGAAAGCAGGAGCAGTAGGTGGTGGTGAAGTGCTGCTCGCCTCGCTGTGCCAACTGCATTACGGAAATCCTAATGCGGCCAACAAGCGTTTAATGTCCTGCCCGGCAGTCATTAAGCGGGAGTGAGAAATGTTGAAATGTTTAAAAGCTTTTCGCCAACTCCTGCACCAAGTCCACTGCCAGCAGCCAAAAATGGCCAACTAACTGTTCTTTGGCTGGCAATAAATTTCAACGGGTTGCTGGGAGTTTTTAAGTAGGTGACTGGGCTTCCAGTGAGAAAACACTAATCTAACATCAAGAAAATCGAGCCGTTGCTGCAATAAACTTAAGTAAAAAAGGGAAAATTATACGAAGAAGTATTTGCTACTTTTGCGTTGGTGAAATATCGGACTTCCAACTTTATTTATATAAATCTATTATAAAAGTAAAAGTTTCATTTTTGGCCTAAAAATTGACATTTTTGCCGATAATCACAATAACGATGGTTGATCAATAATAACAATATGTTTCTAGATTCCTATATAATACTTCTATACAAAGTGGACAGCTGAGAGAAAGGCAGTTTTGTGCTGCTAACGACCATGTAAATGTATTTTCGGAATAAGTTCTGAAGTTTTTGTTGGAAAATTTTAAAAGTTTCATTCATAACTTAGCTTGAAATGGATCCACAGTTAGGTCCAACTAGTTTTATATTAATCAGAAATAACAAGTCAGTGAAATGGAAAAATATGCTAAAAGAAGTACCAGAGTACCAACAATATATATATGTTGAGATCTGGACTGTCTGCTTTCCCCCGGTGTGGAGCTAAGTTACGACAGAGACTGTTTTTCCATCTTGCCGGCTTTGTTCTGGCTTGTTTATGCCCTCATTGACTGCCCGCGGAGCGAGGCGCGAGTAAGTAGGCAACACTTGTAGTGGCTCCACCCTTAGTCCAACCCTTAGGCCACCCTCTCTCCCGGTAGCACCCCTTTTGACCATGTTCATTGTCAACCTGCTGGCGGTTGCTCAGATGCTGGTAGTGGCTTTTGAGGACCGCGCTCTCCTTGCCAATGCAATTAAACGCGACTGCAGTCCCGGCATGGTTTACTATCCTGTCCCGTCCTGGCTGCATGAAACTCAATTAGGAAAGTTCACCAGGAGCGGAAAATGTAAAGGGGTGAAGGATGGAGTATGGAGGTCGGAGGGGAAATGTCG